GAGGGTTCTTTGTTTCTTTTTTCTGAGGAAATAATTCCCAACTATTAAAAGTGATAAATAGTAAAGCCAAAACTACAGTAAAAACACTAACGAAGGATGCAGTTAACAAACAAGCACTAGCAACGTGAATCAGCGTGTTAATAATAAATACCCACTTATTATGGAGGTAAAAATTATTATTTTCAATATACTTATCTTTTTCTCATAGGTACTTATTAAGTAAAAGAGCGATAACGTTTAAAACAACTATCGCACTCAAGAAAAAAATAGCGTAATTCAAAACTTTGCTCTTTTCTGCTGCCTTACCAGCACCTAAAAAATACTGATTAAAATTCTTTTCCTTGCCAAAAACAGAGCGGTAAATTTCTCCTAAAATATCCCTATCGGCGTATTTTTTTCCTACCAAAACAAATAAAGTAGAAAAAACTACCCAAGAAATAACATTAAATAATAATTTAGAAAAGAAAAAACGTGGATAATGTGATAATTCATTCTTTTTTTTAGACATAATAATAAATAAAAACAGGCGGAACTTTTTCCGCTAAACCTTGCTAATCACTGGAGCATTCTAGTAATCAACTTTTACTTTTTGATTTATATCTTAATTTTATATAAGTTAGGGGAAAACTTCTTAGCAAGGTTAGATTAAAAAACTGCTACTTTCTTTTTTTCTCTATCCTTCCGACCTTTCTCCTTTTGCCTTTCTAGCAATTTATTAAATTCTTCTTCGGGAAACTGATAATTTTCTTTTTTTAAATAAAAACGAATTAGCTCCTCGGGAATTCCTTTGGTATCATATCAAAAAAATATATTTTCGGCTGTGATTTTTGGTGAGAAATTTTTCTCTAATTCCTGGATAGAATTACTAATAAACTTTTTATTTTTGTTTATTTCTTTTTCTAGTTCACTAATTATTAATTTTTCTTTATCTTTTAAATGAGTATAGTAAGAGGAATTAACTTCAATTAATTTTTGACTAATTTTTATTAATTGTTCCGTACTTAAATTAAGCATATGGGCTAGCAGGGTGGACTTTTTCACCAATTTTTTGAGGATATATCCACGTCCCTTTGGTTCAAATACGGCTCCATCAGCCAGAGCAAAAATAGTAGTTCGCAAATGGTCAGCAATAATATAATAATTTCCTTTTTGTTGGTCAATATCACTCATACTTTAATGCTTGGGTTTCGAATCCCTTTTTAGTCAGAAAATAATTAATCCGGAAACTACTAAGACTCCACCAATTCCTAAGCCAATTATTAGAGTCAAGTTAGCAGGCTGAAATAAACTTCCTTCTTGGTTTTTGGCACCGCTAACTTTATCATTATTTTCTTTTTGGGTTGGTTTATTTTTGTGCTTGTGTCGGCTTTGACAATTTTTCGGCGGACACCCCTGACCGGCTTGGCAATTTTTATGTAAGCAAAGTTTTTGTTTGCACTCCGAGCATTCAATATCACAACTAGCATATTTTTGCGGTTGGTCGGATTTCATAATTGAGAGCCGTTGCTCAATTTCCGCAAGATTTTTTTTTCGTGCTAGCAATCTCCTTATTTCTCTTTTCAGTAGCGGGTTCTTGACCCAAAAACTTTTCTAAATAAACTAGATTTTTTGAAAATTGTCGGTGAAACTTTTGTAATCTGTCCCGACACAAGAAGCAACAATCAGGGTGTGATTGCTCGTGTTCTTTTTTTTGTTCCCACTTTCTAGCCACCTCAAAATGATAACGTCAAGAATTTCTTTCTTCTTTCTTTAACTTCCGACTTTGGCACTTTTTTCCAGCCGCTAATTTCCCATGGGTAAAAGTTCGCTCCATTCAATAATTCCACCTCTGGTTATCAACGCAATAATTACCTCGGCTAATATCTTCATCAGAAATTACTTCACCACAATCTCAGCATTTAGTTCCCGAGGGAGGAACATCAGTCGCCAACTCCCGACCACCATTTTTTTGAACTTTTTCAACTCAGGATTGTTGAGCGGCTTGATAATTTTCAGCATGCTTTTTTTTGGTTTCTGGACTTAACTTGGTATAATAAATAAGAAACTGACCCTCCTTTCGCTCGCCAATTTCCGACCGATAAGTAAAAAAATTATCGTCTTGGTCAACAAGAAAGAAAGAACAATTATCACTACTATTAGCCTGAAATTTACTAGCAATAGTTCCTCCATCCCCCTCCACTCATTGAAAATCCAGAGACAGCAACATTTCAGCCTGCTTGGCTAATGTTTCCCGCAGAGCTTTTTTTAATCGCAGGGATAAGATATCAAAACTTCTGAGGGTATAACCGACAAAATATCCACTATTTTTTTCTTCTTTATCTCCTATTATTATTGGAGGTGCTTTTTCCGAATCCTTATGAGTTTCACCAGCAAAAACATAATCTACTCCTTCCTGAAACTCCCGGATTTTCTTTTCAATTAGGCTTTGATTTAATTTTGCCATATTCAATTAATATTTAAAATAAGTTATTATTTTTAACAACCTATATTTAATATTTTAAGTTTTTTAAAGGCAAGAAGAGAAAATTTAATTCCTTCAATTGTCAAAGTAAATGTCATGAATGGCTAAACAATTTTCGCGATATAAATTAATTATCGCTCTTAGTCCTAATTAATACTTTATTTTTTTCTCCACTTCGTAGTCAATAAGTTTTTGACATAACTCCTCTAAATCCCCTTCCATAATAAAATTAAGTTTGTTCCAACTTATTCCTAAGCGGTGGTCGGTTATCCGATTTTGGGGATAATTGTAAGTGCGAATTTTTTCGGACCTTTCTGCGGTGCCAATCATCGAAGAGCGCAAACTGCCTACTTCTTTTGCTTTTTCAGTCTGTAATTTTTCCAAGAGTCGCGTTTTGAGAACAAATAATGCTCTTTCTTTATTAACTCGCTGGTCGCGGCCATCTTGGGAAGTTGCCACTATCTTGGTCGGTATATGAGTAATCCGCACCGCCGAGGCAGTTTTATTAGCGTGTTGCCCGCCGGGTCCGCCTGAACTGTAAGTATCAATTTTTAAATCTTGCGGACGAATATTGAGAGCGACATCTTGGGCTTCCGGCAAAACCACCACACTAGCAGTTGAGGTATGGATACGTCCTTTATTTTCAGTTTGAGGAACCCTTTGTACCCGATGAACCCCCGCTTCATTTCTTAACCAATTAAACGCTTCCTTTCCTTTCACCAAAAAAGAAACAAAGGTGAAATTACCCTCATTATCTACTTTACTTTCTACCATCTCAATTTTCCAGCCCTTACTTTCCGCAAACTTATAATACATACGATAAAGGTCACGAGCAAATAACCCCGCTTCAGTTCCTCCAGTACCGGGACGAATCTCAAGAACAATATTTTGTTTAGTTCCTTCTTCTTCCATCAATTGCTCTTTAATTTTATTAATTAACTGCTCTTTTTTTTCTTCCAACTCTTTAATTTCGGTTAAGAAAAGATTTTGCTCTTCTTGATTCGCTTCTTGACTTAATTCTTGATAATCTTTTTGCTCTTGGTCTAACTTCTCATACTCTTTTTTGTCGGCTAGTAAAAGATTTTTTTTTTTACTGCTTATTTGGGAAGGAATTTCATTTTTTTCTAATTTTTTTAAATAGTCAATAATTTTGGTTTCTAACTCTTTATTACTCATGAAAACTTTGAAATTTTCCTAATAAGCCAATTGCTTCTTTCATATACTCTATTTTTAAATATTTTGGACCTTTTCACTACACTGACACTAATAGAAAAAAGCGGAAGAACAATCAAATATTATTCGAAAACAAAAAACTTATTATATCAATCCACCAAAATATTGTAAAATTACACTAGTTATGAATAATTATCAAAGAATTAAATTGCCCTACGAACTTAACGAATTGGAATGAGTAATTTCTTTTAAAACCATGCACTACCACTATAACATTCTCCACAAAAATTATGAACTTAAACTGTTGGAGACAATTCAGGAAACTGAAATTGAGGAACAATTTCCTACTTTGGAGAACTTAATGGAGAATTTGAAGCAATTGCCGGCAGAAATAAAGGATAATGTGCGCTTTTTTGGAGGCGGGTTAATTAATCACAATTTTTTCTTTGCCCATCTTACTAAATTCAAATCCAACCAAAAAGAACACGAACGAGAGGAAAAAATTAGTCTGGCCTTCCTAAACCTTATTCAGGAGGAATTTACTAACCTGGAAAAATTGAAAAAAGAATTGGTAAAAAGTGCCTTAAAAGTGCGGGGGAGTGGTTGAACTTGATTAGTGATGAATAAGAAAGGAAAATTAGAAATCATTAATACGGCTAATCAAGATGGCCCTTGGTCTTTACATTTACGTCCACTTATTGCCATTGACGTCTGGGAACATGCTTATTATCTCGACTATGGAGCCAACCGAAAAGAGTATGTGGAAAAACTTCTTAAACATCTTCTAAATTGAGAATATATTAATCAACTCTATCTTAATTATACTACCTCCTTAAATAAGTAGGCGCTCTTGATGGTCTTGTTCTCATGCTTGCGCTCCCACCCCCTCCCAGAAAGTGTTCCCGATGACCAAAAATTTTTACTCGGGCCGTATTTATTACAAATCTCACTAATCCACTAAAAAGAGTGAGGAAATTATTTCCTAAACTGTTCATTCCAAATAATCTTACCATAGCCATTATAAACAAAGTAAGAAAAAGGTTAAATACTCAATTTTTTGCAAGATAACTTTTTAATTCTTGCTTATTTAACAGACGACCATGGCGCAAGAATTCAGCACTAATATTGGAGAGGAGAGTAGAGATAAATATCGGAATGACCCATTTTCATCACTCTGTCCCGGGCGTTCCGGGTTGGAACCAAGAGTTGGTGCGGTCAAAGAAAGCCGGATGGTAAAAAAGAAAGAAGTTGAACATAACAAACATGAAGCCATTAAAGAACATATACTTAACCAGTGGTGAAGCCTCTTCCTGTAACTGTCCTTTTTCCTCAACACTTAGGTAAGGGTCGCGGATTTTCTCCATATTTTCCCACACTTTTTTGGTTTCTGAATAGCAGATTCACAAGAAAATTATTTCCACAATTACTAATTTAAAAATCATCCCCGAAAATAGGTGGCTGTTTAGTCCGAGTGTTTTACTTGTTTTATTAAGGGGAGAAATAATAAAAAACTTTAAAGGGTCATAAGTCATTTGTTGTCATCAATTTCTATTATCATCTAATTCGGTAATATTTAATTCATTTTCTTTTAATCGGTCTTCAATATTTGTGATAATTTTCTCTTTGGCTTTCTCAAATTTTTCATTGTATTCTTTCTCCTTTTTTTCTAATGTTTCTTTTTCTTCCTTGGTGGAATTTTCTTTTTTTTTTAATTCTTCCTTTTCTTGATATAGTTTCTTTAATTCAACCTCCTCCTCTTTTCACTTCCGCGGAAGTTTTTTATTATTTAGACCTTTTTTCTTTTCGATTTGGCTTAATACATCATCCTCAATTTCTTCAATATTTTTCTCCTCTCTCTCGTTAAATCACCCTGTGAAACGCTGATAGTGCTTAGTTTTGTCATCATGACTTTTTAATTGCCTTTCTTCTTCTCTGATACTTTTTTCGCTGATGGCTCCCTGGTAATTAACACAGTTAGCATAGGAAGTAAGTCAAAGAATTCAATGTAAGAAAATAACTAAAAAAAGTATTCGCAAGCCACTTCTCAGAAAATTAACTAATTTACTTATTCGGCTGGCGAAACTTGATTTTCTTTTATGCGGCATATATTATTTAATTTTTTGAAATATTAACTTTTTCTCTTTCCTTTCTATCAGAGCAGTAAATAAGCATTAATACTAGAATTAAAAAAATAAGAAAAGAAGCAATTGAAACAGGATAAAAGTATTTATCTCAAAAAAATTCTTTCGGCTTGGCTGTCTCGACATTTATGCAGTCTAGCCGCGACATAAGAGGATTAGATAATTGACCAGTATCCTGGGTAGAACTCGTGGCAACTAAAATAAACTGGGATAAGTCAATAGTTTCTCCTTTGATGGATAAAGAATTATTTTGAGCCGGGTCAAAAATAGCCAACAAGGATTTTTGAAGCGGAGATTTATTAGTAATTTTATCAATATTTTTGAACCAAATGACTGGAAATTTTTCTCGCTCGATGGATTGCTTATTAGTGGAAGAGTTAACGATTTCTTTAATTTTATTTTCGACTGCCTCCTTTTCTCTATTTTTTTCTTCCCCAAAATCAATGATATTATTTGCCAATACTTCATTACTTTTGGTTAATTCTTGATTATATTCTTCGCCGGCAAAGAAAGCAGATCAGGAAAAAATATTAATCTTTTCACCCTTTCTTTTTTTCTCTTTTCTGGCGGCAGTTTTAATGGCTATCTCTTTTTTTATTTGTTCGGAAATACTATTCATAACGTTCTAATTTTTAGGTTGTTTTTTCATTATAAATCTCTTAAAAATTCAACTGGCGAAGAGGACGAAATTAAGTCCTAAAAAAATGAAAAGTAAATAATGCTTTCAAGTGGCTTTAAATTCTTCCTGGTAAGGGAAAATATTTTTTTTTACTCATTCTGAAGGATTTTCTGTAACGGTAAATTTTTCATTATTGTTTTTAGTATAAATATATTCTTCCTCAATTTTACGTAGTGCTCTTTCGGCTTGTCTTACTCCCACTTCTTTAATTTGCTTGAGTATTTCTTTAATAATCCTTTCATTTATAATGCCACCTTTTTTTTCGGGGTATTTTTCATTAATCTCATCCGCTTTCATTTTTAAAATTTTTTCTTTTTCTTCATCAGTGAAATCTGGCAACTCAGTTATATCAATTTCTTTTTTTAATTCTAGATCCAAATCATCAATATAATTTACAGTAGCAAAAAAGGTAATATGGCTTAAATCTATTTCTGTTTGAAAATATTTATCAGTGAACTTTTTTCCTGCTTTATAATCCTGAAAAAGTTGGATTAAATGCTTCTGAATTTCTTTATCCTCGACTTTTTCTAATTCATCGAGGAGAATAACCGGATTTTTTGAGCCTCATTTTTTAATCGCCCAGGCCACTAGGCTAGGTTTTTTATCGCCTCCCAAAATGGAATACTCTCCGGATTCCTTGAAGCCAGCCAAAGATATTGACTCACAGTCCCGACCCATAGCATTAGCCAGATTTTGGACAAAAGTAGTTTTTCCCATACCGGGAGCACTGGAATAACAAATTACTTCCCTTTTGGGCCAAAAGCGTCCTTGTGTCATGGCGTAAACTTTGAAATGGCCCAAAAAAGTCTTCTTTTCTTTCTCGAATCCAATATGCTTTTTTAAATCTGCATCAGCCTTTTCAATATCATTAGATACTTTTAAGTTGTTAAGTGCTGTAATTAATTTTTCTTTTTCTTGTTGAAAATTATTCATAAGTTAATTATTATTTTACTTATTAATTTATTTAAACGTTTCTGTTTAGCCACTACCACGGTCAATGAAAAATGGTAAGAGGCATATTAGAACCAGGCAGATGACAGTAATTATTAATCATAAAATCCAAGTCTTTTTTATATATTTTTTATATGATGAGTTAGTGGCAGTTAAGGACAATTGGAGATTGCTATTTAAAGGTGAAACTCCTTCGGCCACAAATCGAGCCATGTGAACGACTGTTATGCTGTACGCCAAAGTATTAGCGGAAAGACTTTTCAAGGTTGGAGCCATAAGTTTGACAAACGTACTTCGCACACTAATAGAAAGGAATGTCAAAATGAAAATAACCGCAAAAATTACTGGAAACACCCCAAAACGACTATGCGGCAAGAAGGTTGGTTCAATTTTTAGTTTCATTTTTCCTACCAATAATACTATGGTACCAGCAAAAATGTAGGCAATAATAATTGGGGCTGTTTTGGTAATGGTAGTAATCAGGGTATTGAAAATATCCAGTTTAGCAACTAAACAAATTATTATTCCCCCAATCGTAAATCAATAAACTATCTGGGGATGACCCCACTCCCCAAACTTTTTTCAGGCCGAGGTCTTTTCAGTGGTTTTTTCAGCAATATCCATTTCATTTTTATTTTCTTCACCCTCTTTTTTCGGCGAAGTATCATCAGTAACCCTGACTTTTCCTAGATATTTATGATCTTCTTTTATTTCTGTATTACATATTCTCTCCGGAACTTTATCAGTCATTTTCCCAGTTTTCTCAGCAAATCAACTAACACTTCCTAAAATACTTACCAAAATAAAGAAAAAACTAAGGAAGAGAATAAGTTTTCTTCTCCAATTAAAGGGTGGAATTTTTGCTGCTGGTTTGGCTTGATTAGTAGATAATGAAGAAGGTTTTTTTTGCACTTTGTTACAATATCAAATATTAAAAAAAACTAAAATCGTGGTCAAAATTAACCATATCATTATCGAAAATAAACGACCTTCCGAGCCGGTAAAATGGGTCTTGGCCTCCGGGTTAACAAATTTATTAAAAAAATATTGACGACCCTGGTTACTTATGCTACCAATAATTCCGACGGCCGAGCCGCCGTAAAGACAAAGTAGTGAAGAAAAGGTATCAAACCCCATGCTTAACAAAAAAGGGATTATTAGAGGGTAAAAATGAATGAACTCATCCGCTCACCACAAAGTGGAAGCCAAAAGAGAGGTGGTGACAGTGATTATAGCCACCGCGGCCAGTTTTCTTTTTTGTAGTCATTTTCGTTTGGAAGCAAATAAGGCTTGAAAGCTTTCACTTTGCAAAAGAGCATAAAGCAGAAAAGCCATCGCAATAATGGATAGGCCATTTCCGTGTTCGAGGTCCAAAGTTTCCTTGGCCGATTCCCAAATAGTTGGAATAATATTAGTTATTCCGACTGGTTTAGCAGCAATCGATGGAATTCACGAGACCACTATTAATAAGAGAAATATTACTAGATAGATTAAAAAAAACATATAAGATTAAAAATTAAAAAAGAGTTAAATCAACGCCAATTTTCTTGTATTTTTATAAAGTTGTTAAGTTTTAATAAGAAAAAGGTCTATTTTTTGCCACCCAAAAGTGGCTTGTTGAAGGAATAATTTCGTTTTAGCCAAATAGACCACAGAGTTGGAAAGAAAATATTACCTCCTTCTGCTAAAAAGTTAATTGCTTTATATTTTGTAGACATAAAAATATGTTTGATATTTGTAATTTGCTTAATCACTCTTGCGAACCAAACCAATTACCGCAATTAAGACAATAATAAATAATCCAATTCCTCCCGCAATTATTCAAGGAGTTCAATTAGTTTTGTTACTTGGGTTTGCCTGTGTTTGTCTTTCCTCTCAGTCTCTATCAGTTAGGAAATATTTTTTATTTTTGTTGTCTTTTTGTCCATTCTTTTTCAAATAATTTTTTATTTCTTGAAGTTCCTCATTTAAATTATCTAATTCACTTTTGGGTTTATCACTTTTGTTATAAATAATTATCAATTTGCCAGTCCCCTCATCATACTCTAGCCTCTTGATATCATTATCTTTACAATATTTACGCACAGTTGATTTCTCGGCAATTTTATTATTATTAGAGTTATCGTTGTCGTCTTCCTCGTCCCGTTGATTGTCGGGTTCCTGGGAGCAATTATGAGAGAAAGTTTTTTTATCGCCCTCTTTATTGGATTTGCTAGAAACATATTCCCGCTGACACTTCGTGCATTTATCTTTTGTTTTACTATATCCTGATGTACGCAATAAGAGCGGAGTATTATCAATGTTTTTTTCATGAAAACATTTTTCCTTTTTTAAGTCCTCTAATTGTTTTTTTCTTTTAGTTTCCCAGTCTTCACATTTGGCTAATGCATAGTTTATTTTTTCAAGGCAAGTTGGGCAATCTTTAACTTTCTTGTCATTATTATTATTGCCATTATCTTCTTCTTGAATTACTATAGCAATGTTATCTTCTTTATTGAAAATCCGTTTTGGCTGAGATTCATTTTCGTTTCAATTCAATTCATATTTACCTTGCAACTTCAACACTAAATCAGTAATTCCAGGATTATCATACCTAATTTTGATTTCTTTGATATCATTACCGGATTCAACTGGAATGAAAATGTGATAACTATGTTTTTGACCACTATTTAAGGTTTCTAATTCTTTAACGCCAGTATATTTAGTGACTATTGATTTTTGTTGTTCCACCATACCAATTAATATTTTTTATAGTTTTTTAATTTTGTTTTGGATATTTCTTGACAACCCATATTATTATATTATTTTATGATTGAAAACAATTCAACTAAAGTTTTTATCATGACCCCAGTCCCGCGTTTAGTCTTAGTTTTTCAGGCAGTTCCGGCAATATCGCAGTGGATAAAAGGCAATTTCTCAACGAATTCTTGTAAAAAAGCGGCTCCATTGGAAGCTCCCATGTAGCGGCTATTACTGATATTACCAAGGTCAGCAATAGTAGTATTTTCTTTTAAGTTTTTAGTATTTTCGGGCAAAAGTGGTAATTCTCAGATTCTTTCTTGAGACTTTTGACTAGCCTGATTAAATTGTTGATAAAATTCCCGATTATTAGTCATAACTCCGGTAGTATTTTCGCCCAAAGCCAGCACGCAGGCTCCGGTTAAAGTTGCTACAGTAATTATTTTAGTTGCTTTTTCCTTTTGAATCGCATAAGTAATTCCGTCTGCTAAAACTAAGCGGCCTTCCGCATCTGTGTTGTTGATTTCCACAGTTTTGCCGTTCATAGAAGTTATTACTGACTCGGTAAGAGTGGCGTGTCCGCCAATAGCATTTTCGGTTAAACAAGCCACCGCTATCACATTTATTGCAGGTTTTTTTTGCACTAAACCTAAAAAAGAAGCACAAACCACGGCAGCGCCAGACATATCAAATTTCATGCATTGCAAATATTGCGAAGGCTTCAAATCATAGCCACCGCTATCAAAAGTTATACCCTTCCCTACTAGTCCCAAAACATTTTTTTTGTTTTTTTTATCGCCAAAATAGCGTAAGATAACCACTCGTGGCTCGTGATGACTACCAGCATTAACAGCCAGCAATAGACCCATTTTGTTTTTTTCAATTTGCTTTTTATCCAAGATTTCTACTTCAATATTTTTCAATTTACTAAACTTAGCCTTTACTTCTTCGGCAAATTCCTTGGCATGAAGTTTGTTAGGTGGCGAATCTTGTAAATCACGTGCTCAATTAACTGCCTCTAATTGGCGGAGAGAGTCATTTAAAATTGATTGTGCTCTCTTACTTTTAGTTAGCAAGTAGTAATCACCACCTTTTTTTTTGTCTTCCTTTTTCTTAAATTTTATTGACTGATGGGTGCCAAACAATATTCCTTCCGCAATAACTTTAATTATTTCTTCTTCCCCGAGTGTTTTAGAGATAAAAGATTGAATATCAATGTTTCAATTTCTTTCATTGCTACTAGAAAAACTGACAAAATAACTGTAAAGACTGTGAAAGTTATAATCGTTACTTTCTTTATTGAGATATAAATAGCAAGTTTTTTCTTCGGAAATTAAAGTGGTTTTTCATTCCTTTTTTTCAATTAGTGAATGAACTTTATCTTTGTTTGTAATGGCACGGAGAGTTAACAAATTAACTTTGGCTTCTTTTTGAGTGAATAACGTGGTCATATATTTTTATTTTAAGTACTTATTAAGTCTAAGCGATAATCCTTTTGATTAAATTTCTTTTTTTATTATGCTAAGAATTAACTTCTTGCCTTGACAGTTTTGGTCGCTTTTTGAGAGGGAGAGGATTTTTTTTGCTCTTTTTAGTAAAAATTATTTTTCAAACTTCCTCATACTCTTCAACCGTAATAATTTTAAGTTCGCGGCGAACTTCTTCGGGAATGTCTCCAATGTCTTTTTCGTTAGATTTCGGGATTATAATCGTTTTTAGTTCACTACGACAAGCTGCAATGGCCTTTTCTTTCAAACCACCAATCGCTTCGACATGACCATGTAAGGTAATTTCACCAGTCATGCCTATGTCGCGCGGGATAACATGGCCAGTTAAAGCCGAAATAATGGCCGAAGTTAAGGCAATACCAGCACTCGGCCCTTCCTTAGGTGTTGCTCCCTCTGGTGCGTGAATATGAATACTATTCTGAGAAAAGACTTCAGAATCAATACCAAACTTCTGCTGATTGGCTTTGATATAATTAAGGGCTACCCGCGCTGACTCTTTCATAATGTCTCCGAGATTTCCAGTTAGTTCAAAATCTCCTTCCTTACGAGGATAATGGACCACCTCAATTGGCAAAATATCTCCGCCATAACCAGTTCATGCTAGGCCAGTAGCCACCCCTGGCCGCACAACTTTTATTTTGGAAGTAAACTCATAATCTTTCTTTTTTAAATAGTCTTTCATTAAATTATCAGG